AATGAAAACAGGTGAGTAAAAAAATTGTTACAGAGTTTTAAATGGAGAGGGAATCAAAGATACCTAGAAATAAAGTGAATTGTTTTGTTGTTGTTGTGATTGCTTTCCACAACTTATGCACACTTAGAGTAGACTAACCGATATGAGCTATGAGTCAAATTGTTTTTTATATTAAAGTAAATAGAAATGTTTAGGGTGACCTTCAAGGAAATTAGTAAACCTTCTTGTTAAAATAAAAAATAAAAAAAAAAGAAATTCATACTGGTAAATAACAAAACATCAGCAACAAAGAAGAGACATAAATGAAATTAATTCAGCACAGAAAAGCAGATGTAACAAAGATATAAGTAATGCCACAAAAAAATGAGTGCAGCAAAATGACAGCAATAAAACCAAATGGAGTTCTGGTGGTCTAGTGGTAAGAAACTGCACTACAATCCCAAAGGCATGCAGTTCAGATCCACCAGATGTTGTGCAGGATGGGTAATCTACTCCCATGCAATTAATTGCCTCTTAAAACCCACTGGAAGGTCAGCTATCGGTTGGTTCCAACTTGACAGTACTCAACAACAACAAAAATGAACATTGGTAATTACATTGAATGTGAGTGGACTAAATTCACCTATCAAGAGAAAAAGAGCAACAGAAGGGAGTAGAAAACATGACCCATAAATATGCTGCCTATAATGGACACATCTAAATTTAAAAAAGGGGGAAACAATATACCATGAAAATCTAAATTTTTATAATATAAGAAATAACAATACTAATTTATGGTAAAATAGACTTCATGGAAAAAACAGTATAAGAGACAATGGAGGTTCAAGGAACAGAATTCTAGTAACATCCACATGAAATATATTGTACAATCTAGATGCCATGTCTCCTTACCTTGTGCCTCTCCCCCACAATCTGCTGAATCTCTTCTCAGTTTACCAACATAGGTTAAAAGCAACCAGGTTAAAAGGAAGTAGCTCCAAGATGACATAGAGCCAAATATTTAAAGAATAATAAAAAATTCTCAAGGAGAGGCATTTATCATTGTTGTTGTTGTTGTTATGTGCCATTGAGTCACTTGTGACTCATAGCAACCCTATGTACAACAGCCCTAAACTCTGCTCTGTCCTGTGCCAATCTCATTGTCTCCGATACACCCATCTCGATTACACCAGTCACTGAATCTATCCACCTCATAGAGGGCCTTCCCCTCCTGTGCTGTCCTCCACTCTCCCAAGCATGATGCCCCTCTCTAAGGATTGGCCTCTCCTTATAACATGACCAAAGTATGTCAGATGAAGACCCAGAATCCTTGCCTCCAAGGAGCAGTCCGGTTTAACTCTCTCCAGGATGAATCTGTTTGCTTTCTTAGCAGTCCATGGTACCCTCAATACTCTCCCCAGCACCATAGCTTAAAGGCATAAATTCTCCTTCTATCCTCCCTAGTCATTGTTCAATTCTCTGATGCATAACAAGTTATTGCAAAGACCATGGCCTGTATCAGACATACCTTAGTCTCCAGAGAGACACTATTGCTCTTCAGTACTTTGGAGAGGTCCCTAACAGCAGACTTTCCCATTGCAATATGTCTTTTAGTTTCCTGGATGCTGGTGCTAAGAGCATTGACTGTGTAGCCAAACCGACTAAAGCTGTGAACAATCTTAATCTCTTCACCATCCATCCTGATGCTGCCAATTGGTCCTATGCATTTACCATGAAAGAACTTTTAGCATATCTGACTAAGGAGGATAGAAGGAGAGTTGATGCCTTTGACCTGTGGTGCTAGAGAGAGTATTGAAGGTACCATGGACTGCTAAGAAAATAGATTCATCCTGGAGAGGGCTAAACCAGGCTGCTCCTTGGAGGCAAGGATGCTGGGGCTTTGTCTGGCATACTTTGGACATGTTGTAAGGAGGGACCGGTCCTTGGAGAGGGACATCATGCTTGGGAGGGTGGAGGGACAGCGCTGGAGGGGAAGACCCTCTATGAGATGGACTGATTCAGTGGCTGGGGTAATCGGGGTGGGTGTGTTGGAGACAGTGCGATTGGCACAAGATAGGCAGAGTTTAGGGCTGTTATACATAGGGTCACTATGAGTCACAAGTGACTCAATGGCACATAACAACAACAGCAACAACATTTTGCCATATACACTTTGGTCTTTCTAAATTTCTTTATAAAAAATGTAAAGGCAAGTATTAATCCCGTGAAAACTTAAGAAAGTCTAGGAAATTCAGAAAAGCTGGTATTCTGATGGTCTTGGTTCCCCTGGTACTGAATAATCACACACTGCTATAGAATTGGGATGCATAGAGACCTTCTATTGGTTTCTGAGGCTGTAAATCATAGTGGGATGAGACTGCCCATCTTTTTCCCATGGAGATGCTTTTGGATTTGAACCACTGGGTGCATGCAGCCTTTGGGTTAGCAGTGCAACTCTCTAAACCCTGTTACCAGAGACAGCTCCATTGTATGGAATAGACTACCTTTAATAGACACATTCTCCAAAGGTTAAAACCAAACCCAAAGTTCAAATTTATACTGCATGATCATGGCTAAGAAAATAAACAAACACAAAAGTTTAAGTGCACATCTGAGTCTGTTTTTTTAGATGAAAGGAGCCCTGGTGGTGCAGTATCTCATGTGTTAGGCAGCTAATTGAAAAGCAGGCAGCTTTGTGGGAAAGATGGGTCACCTCTACCGTTAAAGATTTACAACCTGTCGAATACCTGACAGAGGGCTGCCGAGTAGGAATCTACACAACAGTAGTGAGGTGCTTTGTTCTGTTTTTAGATTTGGCAGGAGGGGAAAGTAAGTACTTAGGGACTACATCCCATATACCAATATTAACCTAGTGGGGAGTTCTCTCTGGACACAGGGTCACCGTGAGACTGAAATGATTTGATGGCAAATCGGCTTGGTTTTGGTTTTGATGTATCAGTATTAGGTGTTTTACATACACTATTGAAAGTCTTAGCAAACTGAAGTAATAGAGATGTTACTATTCTCTTTTAATAGGCTAAAATAAAGCTCGGAAGTCATGTGATCAGGAAAAACCTGGAGTCTAGATGTATAAACCCAGGTTTTCCCCCCCTGAAGGCTGGAACATCATCCACACTGTTAGCAGGGGGTCTCCCTGTTCATGAGTTCAGTACTTTAATCAGTGATCAAAGAACTAGACATGCCTTGGCTATGACTATACCACTATCATCTAGCTCCTGTGGCCGAGTGGTAAAGAGTTGCCCTGTTAAATCAAAAAGTACGTAGTTCAAATCTCTAGGGGAGAAGAAAGAGCAATCTTTTCCTGCGTGATTTAATGCCTCTGAAAACCCACTGTAAGTTCAGCTGAGTCATTTCTAACTTGATGGTACACAATAACAATTTTCTATATTTTAATATTATTAATAATGCTTTTGGAATTTTAGGGCAGTGCAATAATTAATGCAGTTGGTTGCCTAGTCAAAAGGTTAGAGGTTCAAATCTACTCAGAGGTTCTTTGGAAGAAGGTCTGGCAATCTGTTTCTGAAAAATGAGCCACTAAAACCCCTAGGGAGTCCCGTACTACTATGACACATATGAGGTTAGAGTTGATATAACGGCCATTGGGAATGATGGATTTTGCTAGTAAATCATTCTCTGCAATAGGCATAGAAACAAAGGCATTACAATCGAGGTAGAATCTTTGAAAAAAGAATTCACCCACTATTGAAAATTCTTTTCCCTGCAGCACTTTAAAACCTGACCTTTATAAAACATGCAATGTTAAAAAGGAAAATATAAGTCAACTTCCTTAAAAATGTCTCCAGGATTAGCCAGCACATCAAAAAATGAAATCTCTGGGATTTTAATTTAAATGCTGGATTACATTGCTCCTCTCTGGCCCTCCATCTCAATCCCCTAACTATGGTATAAAGGAAAACAACAGCGCAAATTTATGGTTATGCGTATCGAGTTTCAGAGCTCATTGCTGGTAGAGGAGGAATATACACTTGGCAAGGTTTGACAAAGCTGGTCTATTTCACTGCTTTCTCAGGAAAGTAGTATGCTTACAGAATTTTTATCCACACTTGTCGAGCTCTTCTATGCTTGGATAGAGAGTCCACCAGAATCACTCATAATGTAGATAATAGTATCTTCTGTAGCTATTGTCAAAGAAAAGCTATCCTTTTTTGTTTTAATTAGCATGTCCTTGCAACTTATTGTAAAGGAAATGATAATGCATAGATCAAAACCATTTTGGAATTAGGTAGCTTAGTGATCTTTTCTTCCTGTATGATAAGTCATTACTATATCCCCCCCCTTTTTTCTCAAGCGCTTAACAATTGTGTTGGAGAAAGGACATCAAATGATGCTTAGAAATGTGATACACATTTTCATTTCACACTCCATCAGCTTTTACAACTGTAGCTCAATGAAATGTAAGAGAGAGCTTGGCAAATGGCCATATTTGCCAAGGTATAAAATAGGGGTCAGGCTATTTTATTTTTTTTTAAGAAGGGGGAAGTTTCATTTTCACTCCACGTGCCTAAAGCAGATAGCAGCTAACACCCCAGAGAAAGACACTACAGTAACTAGGCCGACTGATACAGTTTAGTGCCTGGTCAACTGGAGGTCTTTAAGGACACTGTAAACTGTTTCATAAAGCAAGAAAACCTTCCATTCCTTGGCCCCTTCCACTCAGGATCTACTGACACAGAAACGAACTGGATCAGATCATCATTGGTGTTAAATCCTTCACCTGCAAAGAACGGCTTTTACCCTCTGCTTCCAGCCTGCAACCGGAAACCGCTTTTTTCCCTTTGCAGGAGGAGAGGCAAAACTATAGGCATCGGCAAAACCCTGCACCTTTCTAATTCAGATTTCAGTATGTCAGAAGGGATTAAAGCCTCATGCATACAGAGAAGGGGAACTAGAAATGATAACAGAAGCACGGTCTGCAAGCTTTGTACTTCCCCAGCTGCTGTTCCACCGGCAGGCTAGAGAGGGCAGCGCCTTGTACTCACCTCTGTTAAACCTGAGACCACTCCTTTTGCTAATGGTTTGCTGATGGATGGACAGTAGACCTTGGCGTCTGTTACTGGCTGCCCTTTCATAAAATGTTTTCCTGATTCGTAAATGTCCACTTCGACCATCTTCCCCATGAATGAGGGGTTCTTTGGCACTAATACCTTTAAAAAAATTCAGAAGGTTTAGATTAGTTGTTTGGTTGGTTCCCCGTCCCCTTCATTTTCTTGAGGAATGCGTTATTTTAGAACAGTGTCAAGTTTCTAAAATTGTTCCAGAGGTAGGAAAAACTCATGTTTGTTGTACCTCTAGGACCCTTTTAGTAATATTGTACATTAATGGGATACATTTACCATAATTAATAAACCACATAATTATTAACTAAAATCAATACTTTGTATTCAGATTTCCTTCCTCCGTTTTCTTCTAATGTCCTTTATTTTGGTGCCAGAAGTCCACCTCTCGCTTTCTCATTACTGACCGTTCAGTGGGTTTCCGAGGCTGCAGTTCACACAGAAGGAGACTGCCTGTCTTTCAGCTGCTGCTGAATTTGAACAGCCAGGGAGGTGTGGCCTATGGTTAGCAGCACAACTTCCAGCTCTGGGGATTATGCTACCAGAGCTCCCATCTGGGCTCACACTACATTCTGTTCTCATTTAGGCTCCTTTTGGTGTGGCAAGGAGCCCTGGTAATGCCAATCCAAAGGCTGGAGGTTTGAATCCACTAGCTGCAGTGTGAGGAAAAGGTGAAGCAGTCTGCAGTCACAGACATTTACAGCTCTGAAAACCCTTCTGACTTACAGGGTTGCTATGAGTCAGGATCAAGTTGAAGGTAGTGGTTTTGACTAGGTTCTTTGGCTGTGACAATATTCATTCACTTTGTACTTGCTCATCGTACTTTATAATTGTTGACAGAACACGTCATTTTGAAAAGCTCATTGGAGAGGATTTTATATGTCCTTTGCCTTATCTAAAGGTTCTCAGCAGACTGGCCACAGAAATTATTCCTATTAGCTAAAGTAAACTTGGTGTATAGGAAAGCAAAGGTCGTCTCCCAGCACTCTAGCATAGCAGGAGCTCAAAGAGGGGATGAGAGGGGAGGCACAATAAATGGATGGAAAAAGAACTGGATTTTGTGTGGCAGAGAAGTAACATGGGTTTTTTTCTCCCCCTTATATTTGTCTCTAGGATTTACATTTCATCTACTCAATTAAAAAAAAACACAACAACTCCCCAACCAACCACACACACACAAAACCAAAAAACACACAATCAAATTCTCAAAAACTAAAAAAAAAACCCATAAAAACCCAAATCCCACAGCTGATATCTTCAACTCTATATGTCTTAGAGAAAAACTGTGCTCCCTGGGGTTTTCAGCAGTACTTTTTCAGATCAGCAGCCCTTTTTTTCCCAGGTACCTCTGGGTGGATTTGAACTTCTAACCTTTTGATTAGCAGTTACTACTTATACCATTCAGGGACTGTTCACTCACTCAATGTAGCACCCTAACACATAGAATTGTAGTGGAGGCCAAGAGAATAGCAGTTATCACCTGGAGGCAAAGGATAGGATTTCCCAAGGCTTCTCATTACCCACAGGGAAGTTTTGGGGGCCTCTGAGAAGACTCTGCCAGCTCAGGGTACTTTGCAAGGAGGGAGGGCATTTCTGGGAGGAGCCACCAGGCTGCAGACAGTGCTTTTTTATTGCAGGATGCCTGCTGGCCTAGGGCATGTGGAAGGCAGGCTTGGGAAATCCCCCAGCAATCAGCCAGCCACCTCCTCGGGACAGGCCTTTGATATTTGGCTCAGGGCTGTGTCATGCAATGAAGAAAACAGAGACAGCACTGATGAAAGCCTTTGACTTTTAATACCTTCCAAGCTAGCTGTCAGAGTCATGGTTTGAGTAGACATTTCAAATAAAGATTTGTGTACTTGTGGGGTGTATATGCATATGTGGTGTGTTTGAGGGGTGGGGGAGTGTGCACATGTATGGAGGGTGGGGATGAGGATAACATCTGAAAGTACCTTAGATGTTTGGGATGAAATGACTCCTTGATAGAATGGCTGCCATTCAGTCCCTTGGCTCTAGTATAAAATGCACGTGTTTGTTACTCCTGGGAGCCCACCTCCACATAGAACCAGCTCCTCTGAAGGGTACTTTACTTTGGCTGCTTCAGAGGAAACTTTCAGATGGTCTCTTACCATTAGAGATTGCTGATAAAAGTACTTGTTTAACTTGAGCAAATGTTTTCCCTCCTGTGGGACTTATAGGTAGTTTGTATGCATTATGTCTTCCTCACGCATCTATTTTTGTACTATAGCTACTTGCCAATCTTGTCAAGCTAAGGTCCAAAAGAAACAGACTGGTTCTCCTGCAGAAATACTTAGAGATCTAGATGATACAGTCTTCATCTCTAGGCCTCGTCATAAGAGAAAGAATTCTTATAAAATCTTTAATATGGTGTCTTGTAGAGACACACCCCCCTCTCGCTGCCCTCTGGGGGGGGGGGAAATCAGATGAGAGCTAAAAGTTCCAAAGTCAACACTCGGGAAGGCAAAATTGGATACTGAGCTTTTTGAGTTTGATTTTTAGGACAACTGAGTCCGTTGCTTCATCAGAAACCAGGGAGAGGGTCACCTGGTTGGGGAGCAAAGTAACTCCAGGAGTTTTCGTCTTAAGACATGAAAGCACCTTTAAATCCGTTTTTCTGAAATGAGAATTGCAAAGAAATCTCTAGGGGGGAAACTATTCCTGGGAGACATGGTGCTATTCCAGGGAAAAGAAAAAAAAATCACCTCCCTTGATCTGCTGCCTTGATCTGAATGAAGGGCTCAGTGTTTTTCCCCCTCCGGTTTTAATAATTGGAAAAAGCCCGACTGCTTTAAATGAGAGGAAACAGCTAATGAGGCATGCCATTGCCTTTAAAATGAAGGGAAAGAAAGTTCCCTGCTGAGGCAGAAACCCAGATGGCAAGAGAAAGGAAAAGAGGCAACCCAAATGCAGACAGGCTTCTCCCCAGGGCTGAGCAGAAGGCCGGCCTGGACGGAACACGGCTCTCTGGAGTGTGTTAATGAGACGGAAAATGGGGGCAAGAGGAGGCTCACATGGGGAGTGCTGGGAATCTTCTCAACTGTGGTCTCTGCTTGGTATGAACTGGGCGTGCTCAGTCTGGCTTCTCATGTTTTAAGGCCCTTCATGTTTCCTGAGGGCCTGGTGACCTGTCTGATACTGTTCTAGGTAGAACATAAATTCTGGCATCACTTCAGTTTGATTTCCTAAATTTCTACCATGGGGAGTCTGTCTCCCTTGTCTGTAGTCCTTAAGAGTTTCCAAAAGCTTGAATTCCAATCATGATCCACAAGGAAATTACAATGACAACAAGAACAAATCCACACCGAAATACCACTTAGCATCTGAACAGCTTTAGTTTGCTTGGCTCCATAGTCAACACTCTTGGCACCAGCAGCCAGGAAATTAAAATACATATTGTGATGGTAAAGTTTGCTATTAGGGACCTCTCCAAAGTACAGAAGAGCAATGGTGTCACTCTGAAGACTAAGGTGCACCTGATACAGGCCATGGTCTTTGCAATCACTAGCTATGTTTCAGATAGTTGGACAATGACTAGGGAGGATAAAGGAGAACTGATGCCTTGGAGCTATGGTGCCAGAGAAGAGTATTGAATATACCATGGATTGCTAAGAAAATGAACAGGTTTGTCCTGGAGAGGGTGAAGCTGGTCTGCTCCTTGGAGGCAAGGATTCTGAGGGTTCATCTGACATATTTTGGTCATGTTGCAAGGAGGGACCAGTCTTTGGAGAAGGACGTCATGCTTGGGAGGGTGGAGGGCAGGCGCAGGAGAGGAAGACCCTCTATGAGGTGAAATGATTCAGTGATTGGGGTAATTGGGGTAGGTGTGTCAGAGACAGTGCGATTGGCACAGGCCAGAGCAGGGTTTAGGGCTGTTGTACATAGGGTTGCTATGAGTCGCAGGCAACTTGATGGCACATAACAACAAAAAATCTGATTTTATTGATTAGGTGCTGTGGAGTTGACTCTGACTCACAGAGACCTTATGAACAACAGGTCTGAATGTAGCTCTGTCTAGCACCATCCATACAATCTCCATTATGCTCAAGCCCATTGTTGCAGTCATTGTTTGTCCATCTCCTTAAAGGACTTCTTCTCATTCTCTGACCCTCCACCCTTCCCAGCGTGAGGTCCTTTTCCAAAGACTGATACCAAAGTAGATGAAATGAAGCTTCACCACCCTTGTTGTACTTTCTACATGACAGTTTTACTTGTTCTTTTGGCAGTCCATGGTATATTCAGTTCTCTTAACTAACACTGCGATCTAAGGGCATCCTTTTTTGGAAGTGAGCTTATCTGATGAGAAAGGATTTAGAAGAAAAGAAATGAAATCCATTTGCCTAGAAGGACTCATGGGAATCTATGAATCCTAACTCCTCCTTGGCCAGATCTGCTTTCCTTTGGTTACATCTGTGCTGTTTCATCACCTGAAGATGGAGAATCCCAAGGGCTGAAAAAGAACCATGGCTGTGTATTGCGACCAAGGCTAGTGAACTTATATGAGCAGCAAAGGCAAGCTGGTGACTGGGAGCTCCCAGGCTTGGCCTCCAACACCGTCACAATGAATGAAAATTTCGTCTTCACACTTAAGTCTCCAGAGCTGCTCACAGAATCTGAGCCAAACCCAACACTCTTTTTGCACTGTATGCAGATTTTTGGACAATGAAACATTATATAAATAAATAAATAAAGTAACAACAACAAGTCAAACTACCTAGAAACAACAACAAACACCAGCTTGTCTTGCCCTTTTACTCTGATGTCCTCCAGGCAGACATCCTTCCTCTCTGTGAGCAGGACATCCCCCCCCCCCCCAATTTCCTTTGCCAGGCTCTAGAAATTTTTGCAGGCAATTCCAAATTCCCAAAATTAGTCCTGTGAGAGTTTCTTATTGTTAGATGACTTCAAGTAGGCTCCAAATCACACTGACTCTCTGACAGAATGATTGTATGGACCAGAAAAAGCCTCATTTCTCCTGTCCCAGCTTCATAATCGTTAAGTTTAAGTCCACTTTTTCCAAAGGCCATCTGCTTCACAAAGTGTGATGTTCTTCTCCAAAGATTGGTATTTCCTGACAATATGTCCAAAATCCATCTTGTCGTGAGCTCTGGTGGCCTAGTACCAAGAAGCTGCACTGCAATCCCATAGGTGCACGGTTTGAATCCACCAGATGCTCTGCTGAAGGAGGAGGGACAATCTCCTCCTGTACCAGTCAGATCTGATTTGACGGTACACACAAAAACAATTTAAAAAAAAATAATTAAAAACAAAACCCCAAACAAACCAAAATCCATCTTGCCTTCCTTGATACTAAGACGCTATACTTATTCTAAGACAGATCATTTATTCTTCTAGAAGTCTATGGTATAGTCACTATTCTATGCCAACACCAAAATGTAAAGGTTTTTTTTAAAAAAAAAAAAAATTCTGGGTATTTCCAATTCCCTATCCAACTTTCACATGCATATGAAGTGATTAGAAATATCATGGCTTGGACCAGGGATATTTTAGTCCTCAAAGTTACACTTCCGTTTCCTTGTACTTTTAAGAATAATTGTTTTTTTTTCAAATTTTCCCAATGCTGTAAGCCATTTGATTTCTTGACCGCAGTTTTCATGGATATAGATTGTAGATCTAATAAAATCATTGGCAACTTCAACTTTTTTCCTCTAGTATGTAGTTGTGAAGATTTCTGTTTTATGTTGTGGTGCAATCCATACTGAAGGTAATAATCATTTATCTTCATCAGTAAGTGCTTCAAACCATTTCATTTTCTGCAAGGAAGACTGTGTCATCTGATACCACAATTTGTTGATGAATTTTTCACCGACACTATTGCTACAATCATTTTCATTCAGTTCAGCTTCTTGGATTATTACCTCTATACACACAGAATAAAGATGGTTAAAAGGTGCACTTCTGAAGTACGGCTTTCTTGATTTAGACCATGTATCCCTTGGTTTTGGGGTTAGGTTTGTTTTGGGTTTGGGGGGGTTTTTTTGCAGTGATTGCTACTTGGTGAGCACAATTAACAATTTTGGAATTCTACTCATCAAAATGTTTTCTATAATTCATTATTTAATCTACACAAGTGCCTTTTCTCTTTTTTTATTAATTTGTGTTTGCGTGTATGTACCGTCAAATCGGAGCTGATGGGTATAGGAGGAGTTTGCCCCACCTTCTCCAGCAGAGCATCTGGTAGATTTGAACTGCGTACTTCTGGGATTGTCACAAGTACCTTTTCATCAGGAATGAGAATGGGAATCCCAGAACATTTAATTGTGCTAATGCGAAACCTGTACTTGGACCAAGAGGCAGTAGTCAGAACAGAGCAGGGTAACACTGCATGGTTCAAAATTGGGAAGGGTGTAAGCCAGGGATGCATCCTGTCTCCATACCTTTTCAACATGTATGCAGAGCAGATTATCCGAGGGGCTGGGCTCTATGAGGAGAATTGTGGTATCAGGATTGGTGGAAGGTCTATTAACAATCTCCGTTATGCAGATGCGCAGGAGGGGAAGACCCTCTATGAGATGGATTGATTCAGTGACTGGGGTAATCGGGATGGGTGTGTCAGAGGCGGTGCGGTTGGCGCAGGATAGAGCAGGGTTTAGGGCTGTTGTGCATAGGGTCGCTATGAGTCGGAAATGACTTGACGGCACATAACAACAACAACAACAACCTTTTCATAGTCAACAAAATACAGGTAAACATATCTCTACTATTCTCTACTTTCAGCCAAGACTCATCTTGCATCAGTAATGATATCTTTCCCCACCCCTCAAAACCCTTTTCTGAACCTGGCTTGAATTTCTGGCAGTCTCCTGTCAATGTACTGCTGTAACCATTTTCCTGTCAAAGACTAATACTGACTAAAAGCATTCTAAAGATGTATTTCGTGGTGTAGAATAACCCACAAAGATAAAACCTCATGTCAGTCTGTCTGGCTTGATGCTATAAAATAGCTTCGAAGCAGCAAGATTCTAGGACCTTTCTCCTTTTACATCCCTCCTTGTTTCTTAAACTGATTTACTTTCAGATCTCATTTCCATTTGGAAAAAAAACTCCAAGAACACAGAAGTATCTCTTACCTGCTCATAAAATCGATTGTGAGCAACATAAAACTTGGAATCAAAAGATTCTTCTGTTACTAACACTTGTTGTCTTTCACCAATCTACAGAGATAGGGGAGAGAAAAAGAAAGAAAAAAAAGAAAGATCAGGGCAAAGAATTAATAATCCAAAATAAAGGTAAGCTCATATTGTGCTCTTCAATTTAAAGCAGACACTACATGTCTAATTATTTAACAGCTAAGCCAGGAATCACTGATTCAAATTACCTAAATGACATTAATTATGCAACAATATAAAATCAGTGGTGTATGAAGTCTTATTTTCTTACATAACTACAAAATAAAACTTGATTTTATTTCCTCCTTCAACATAAGTATGAATAATTAAGGCTTCTAAGACATACAAAGATTTTATAAACATCACTCACTTTGTTTCTTGAAACAAAGTTGAAAAACAAGTCAGAACAAGCTGCTTCTAATCCAAATTCATGAAAATATTTTGGCAATATGAAAGAGTAGTAATAGACATTCATTTGAGTCGTGAGAGATAGAGTATTTTAGCAGTCTCTAAATACTAGGCATGGAGCTCTCATACCTAAACTTTTCACATCCATGTTGAGTGTGATTTTGAAATAACTTATTTCCACAGCTATTAACTTACTATGTTCCTTCTTTTTTTTTTTGTCACAGGTAACAACTGTCCATTTGTTGAAACTGTGACCTTATATTTATATTTTCAGAGAGAAAGAGCAAAAATATGGGAATGTTGATTCTTTATAAAAATCAATAGTAGGCATGCTAAGTATGCATTTTAAATAACAAAGATGTGAAATAAAATAAAAATGTTGGCTACAGAGATGTGACTATTCAAAAAAACTCTGCCATTTCCATATTGAGTCCATGAAATTCAGCATTTAAAAGAATACTTTTTTCCCCCACCAGGTTGTCAAAATATCTGATACAAGCAAACCAGCTGGATTGAATGATTATGCCCAGACTTATTTCTGCTTTTGCTGTTTGACAAATCCAACTTCCTCCTCCTCTACTGAAGCACATTATTAGTAAGATGATTTTTTTAAAGAGTGATTTCTGTTCTTTGTAGGGACTTGTCACTATGTTCGGGCGGTTACCATTTAGGAAGAATAAACACAGCTGCATGAAATAGACCACCTAACAATTGGGGGAAAAAAAATAGAGCAAGAAAAACTCCCCTTGCAAGCATCCACAGCCAACACCAAATAGCACCATCATTTACTATTTATTGTACAATCGTGTCCAAAACTTAGCCCCCCTTAGCCAAGAGTTGGAAGGCCTTTGAGATGCTTATCAAAAATTGATTTCATGTGCTGAAAACCAGTGAAGGTTTCTGGAGTAGTAATCTCTTAAAAATCAACTGGCAAAAAGAATGTTCTCTCAACTCCTACTTTGAGTTTCAATGGCTCTGTTACTTTAAAAAAAAAACCAAACAAACCACAACACACCCCCAAAACCCAACCAACTTGGTGACTATTGCATTTCACTGAAGTGTATTCTTCTGGGAGAAAATGCTGGATGTTTGCACACATTTCGCAGTGTGAGTTGCTCATAGCGTAAGATAAGTGTCTGTGAATGGTTCTTGAGGAAATCTGCAATTACACTTCATCTAACATTAAGTTTTCAGGAAATTTCTGTAACAACAATATGAAATTGTAGAGCCACTGAAAACTTGTGCTACTTCTTTCTACTTAGCCGAATTCACATAGACTGTTCTTGTGTCATTGTGGGGTTGGTGTTAGTAACCAGGACAGCCAGATATACACATCGAACGACTGTTAGTAAAGCTTGCCATGTTACTACGGTAGATGACAGCGCTTCTGGTCCATACACAGAACTCTCTGTGGGTGGGCAATTCACTCTCATTTGCCTGTGGATCTCAGAGGATTGACAGTCCCAGGAATTTACCATCACCCTATTTGTTCAGCCTTGGATTTTGTCTCACTGGCAAGGTCCTTAAAATTCCCAAGAGGATGTTGGGTAAAAGTGAGTATAAAGTGTTTAGAACTTTAATCAAATACTGCTGGAATTTGTTATCAATCTCTAAATATGTGTGTGCATGCACAACACACACACACAGCAAATGCTTTCTTAGATAGAGTCTTAAACAAAGTCAGCTTGAAATGTATTTCAAATACAAGCTTGAAGAAAATCAGCTATTTGAAATGCTGCTGTTGTTGTTAGCTGCCATCAAGTGAACTATGACTAACAGGGACTCTATGAACAGCAGATTAGGAACTAGCCTCATCCTGTGTCATCATCACGATCAAGTCCACTCATTAAAGGCACTGTGTCGATGAGTTTAGTCCTTCTGTTAAGGGTCTTCCTCTCTTCTGCTGACCCACTATCTTTCCCAGCATGATGTCTTCTTTTAAGGGCACGCCCCTCTGGACACCCACCAAAGAATGTGACTTCATATGGTTTAAAAATATTTCTCTTCATTTTGAGTCCTGCCCCATAAGCAAATGAAGGGCCTTCATTGGGAGGAAGTTTTATTGCTCCATCCAAGTCATCAAAGTAGATTCTATTTCTTTTATTATTTCAAATGTTGTTGTTATGTGCCATGGAGTTGACTGTGACTCATAGTGACCCGACATGCAATAGCCCTAAACTCTGCTCTATCCCTTGTCAATCTTATTCTCTTCAACACACCTATCCTCATTACCTCAGTGACTGAATCAATTCATCTCATGGAGGGTTTTCCACTCCCACATTGTCCTTTTCCAAGGACTGATCCCATCTTGCAACATGTCCAAAGTATATCAGACAAAGTTTCAGAATCCTTGCCTCCAAGGAGTAGCCTGGCTTTACCCTCTCCAGGATGAACCTGTTTGTTCTCTTAGCAGTCCATGGTATAGTCAATACTCTTCTTCAGCACCACAGCTCAAAGGCATCAACTCTCCTTCTAGCATCCATAGTCACTGTCCAGCTCTCTGATGCATAGCAAGTAACTGAAAACAAAGACCATGGATTTTATCTGGCGCACCTTAGTCTCTAGACTGATATCGTTGCTCTCCAGTACTTTGAAGAAGTCTCTGTCAACAGACTTTCCCAATGCAATTCATCTTTTAATTTCCTGGCTGCTGGTACCAAAAGTGATGATTGTAGAGCCAAGCAAACTGAAGCTGACAACAATCTCAATTTCTTCACCATCTAATCTATCATGATGCTGCCAAATGGCCCAGTGGTGAGAATCTTTATTTTCTCAATGTTGAGCTTCAATCCATATTGAAGACTGCAGTCCTTGACCTTCTGCAGCAAGCGCTTCAGGTCCTCCTCAGTTTCAGCAAGCAGGGTTGTGTCACGGTCTTAAAATCAATGGTGACTTTACACTGCAATCCCAAAGGCACATGGTTTGAATGTTCCAGACGCCCTGCTGGAGAAGGAGGGGCAATCTCCTCCTGCGCCAGTCAGATCCAATTTGACGGCAGACACACACAAAATAACAAAACTTTTACAAAATAAACGGTGAATTTGACAGAGCTCAGGAAACACTCAGAGAGGCAATCTGGCACTGCTAAAAAGAAAAAAAAAGACTCAATGGGCTAAATGCTTACATGCAATCTTCAAATCTCATTTTCCACTGAATCACTTTTCTCTAAACTTTCTAATCCTTCCATGCTCCACCCCACATGCTATTCTTTTGTGGTTAAAGGACAAGACTTTGAATAATCATTCAGGTCTGCCATATTGATTTGTAGTCTTGGAAACCCAGTGAAGGGTTGCTATGAGCCTGAATGAACTCGACAGTGAGTGAGGGAATGAAGTATGTTTGTGGGGCAGTAGTGGAATTCCTGCCTGCCATGCATTATTCTGGCTTGACTCCTGCCCAGTGCACCTCATGCTCAGTCATCACCACCTCTCAGTGGAGGTCTGTGTGTTGCTATGATGCTGAGGAGGAGATTCCAGGTTAAGCTGGACTAGGATAATGATCGGCTGGAAATGAGCCATTGAAAACCTTATGGATCACAATGTTCCAACTGATCAAGACAGTATTTCATTCTGTTGTGCACCAGCCACCTTCAGTTGGGAGCTGAATGGACAGCAGTGAAGAAAAGCCTCTGTTATCAGTGGAAGGAAGGGTCAACCTCAGAAAAAAAGGTAGGACAGCTACAGAAACAAGACAAAGCTAAAGAAATCCTTAGGCCTCTAGGACGATCACCCATTATCCTAATGACAGCGACTAACAGAAATCTGAATTCATCTTTCAAAGAAAATGTTAAAGAATATTTTGTATCTCATGCCAGGGCAAATTACTCAATAAACAATGTAAGCACAGCCCAACTTGTGCTTATTTTACAATCTAGAATGAAGACTTTCACTATGTCAGAGATTTGGAGTCCAGGAATAACTGGCATCAATGTTCCTTCCCAACTCCACAGCACCTTCCTACAGGGTCAGAGCCCAGCTTATAATTCCTGACAGGGACAGAGGACCCAGTGAGCAGGGTAAGAATGCGTTTACTTGTGCTTGCTTCCTAAGCAACCTGGCCTGATGGCGTCTGGTAGCCAGCTACAGCTATGCTCATCTCACACTCAGATTTTCTGCTGAGAAGTGGACTTTGATAGCTGTCTCCACACCGCTGATGGAGCCACGCCCAACAGATGGAGTCATGCGTGGTTTGATCACTGGTCTAAGACAACCTCTGAGAAGAAGCAACTAAATGACTGCTTGTATACTTTGAAAGCAAGCAAAATTCTGGAAATATGTGAGAAGTTGAGCATAACAGTTTTCATGAAATTTCTGTGACTTCCAGTACAATATAGCTGTGCAGTAGAGCTAATTTAGGTGCAAGGAGAAGTGTAAACTCAAAGAATGGTATATAAATAAATGAGAAGTGAGGGAGAGAGGGGAAAGTGATTTGGAAGCAGGAGAAATGGCTAGAAGAAACAGACTGTGGCTCTAGCAGAGCTTGAGGACTCTGAGGAAGGGTTAATCAAAATTATCAAATGCCACGGAGACACCAAGCAGATATGAGATAAAGTCTGGACAACTGAGCTATGCCGCTGGATGAGCGTTGGGAAACGGACATTTCGATGGGCAAGTGGGATGATGAGTGGGTAGGAAAGG